GGGGTGATGTAGACATTAATTTCTCCAAGTGATCATATTGGAATCATATGCTATTCTTCTGCGAAGTATCCATCAACCCCTCTGAACAGCAGAATTAAGGTAGCAGTTGCAGATTTGCAGCTCTGCTGCGTATTCTAATTTGCTTGGCCTAACTCTGGTGTCGGTGTCCAACGTTCTCGATTCCTTTTGCTAAACCTGCTGTAGGTACACTATCTATCTAGATCTTCAATTTTAGATTTCTCTATTGGTGCACAATTTGGTTACCTTAAATTTCTTTCTTTAGATTGATTGCTAGTTCAGTTTTTTCAGGTTTTTTGGCCGAATTGCTACTCCATTAGTAAACATGTATTCCTGTGGCTTTTTGTTTTTGAATTTCTATGTACAAGAGTTCCGTTTGAGTTTTGGTGTCAAAGCTGCAATATTTTGGCAGCAAATGAAGATGCAAATTAAATTCTGTGACATGCTAAGTGATGAAAAGAGCTAGTGACAATTTTTCCTCCCCTTTTTAGCCTCACTTTTTCATCCTATCAAGCATTAGTTATTCCTATCTTGCCTTGTTCTTTAAGTTGTCATATACATTCTAATACACATGGTGTTTCATTTTACAAGGCCTTTTTCAATGGAGCTTCTAGTAAAGCCTATCATGGAATTGGTAAAGTGTTTGGGGAGGTCAACCTGCACCTATCTAGGTTATCACTTAAATTTTGATGAAGCTGTGAGTGATTTGAGAAGAGAATTGCAAGTTCTAATCTCTCGAAAAGAAGATATAAATTTAAGCATACAGTCTGAGGCTGGTTGGGGAAAAGAAGTGAAACATGAAGTGCAAGGCTGGCTTAAACATGTACAAGAAACCAATAATGAAGTGCAAGCCATTCAAGAAAATATTCAGAGCGTTAAGTGGTACTCAAAGGGCCGTCTTGGAAAACTTGTTTGTAAGAAAATTGTGTAGAAAACAGAGTTGAACAAAAGCTTTAAGGTGAATATTCTTTGAGGAATTCAATCTAACACCTGCTGGGCATAAACAGATTTTGCAAGTGAAACAAACTAGAGGAATGTAAACTCAAGCCAAATTGGAAGAGGAAATTCATCTGTTCATGTTATTCCAGAGAAAGAAAACGACCTTACAAAATGGGCTTAAAAACAACTAACTTAAGCTAGAAATTAGCAGCCACTTAGCCACTAAAAACAAATAAGATATGCACTGCTAAAAATAAGAAACTCAACTGCACGTACCCAACTAATTCCTAAAGAATAGGACAATAAAACAGATAATGGAAGACTTATTCAACAAATTGAGGTGGTGAAGAGAATCTATGAACAAGGTCGTTTTCCTGATGGTCTCACAGTCACAATTGATAGAACTCCATGAGGAATCATACGAAATATTATGATTTTAACTCTTAACTCCTTTTATATCTTCTTGTTCCATTTTGGTAATTCCAAAATCTCCTATAGATTTTCTGAAATGATTTGTTTTTTCCAGGAATTTTGGTTGCTAGTCTTTGTTTGTTTAGGGATTTCTTATTTTCTTAAATGGGTTCCTTAGGGGTATGGTTATAATTTTGAGAAATCCGTAGTTGGTTCTAATAAATTTATTGAGTTATTTAATTTGCGATAATCAGTTATTAGAATATTTAAATTAACTTTTTTTTTTTTAGTTGGAAGTAAAATCATTGAAATGAAAACATGCAGAATTTTAATTTCATTATTATTGCAAATGCCAATTTTGGCACAATCAGTTGGCAATTGGCAGGAAGAGTCCTAGGCTCCTGTCTCCGATGAACTCCAGGTGCTCCTACGTAGTATCATTTTGAACTTTTTGCACAAGATTTGGTGTCATAAACTCCAAGTAGTGAGTATTGATTTTGCTCTGTGTTCATTTTCTATCTGTATATGTATTTTGATCATAAATTAACCTTCAAAATTAATATTATGATTCACCTGCAACTATAATAATATAACATGCTTTGTAGTTTCTTTTATCTTATATTGCATATGGTCTCATTCTAAACAATTTTTCTAAGTTCTTTTTTTACTTTTATTTGATATTTGCATATTCACATGGGCGGTGCAGGTTCATTACCAAATTTATGGGTTTGTGATTTTGCAAAGTCGAAATCTAGTTGTGCACCAGAAGATGTAATAATTCAATTCTGAGTTCCAATAATTCATTTCCTTAACCATAAGCAGTACATGCAGAGCGTCATTGCCTAAATTGATTAATTCTTATATGCATTTAATAGATTATAAACCAAACTTAATACATTACCATCTAGAATTCACATTACTCTATCTAGAATTCACGTTACTGGAGTGATTCTAATAATCTCTTCTTTCTATCGACTCTCTTAGCTGATTTTATCCTTTCCTTCTTTTGTTTATTTACTTCTTGCTGATGCACCTTTTTGTGCTGATGATGGTGAAGCAGTTGAAGAAGGCGGCATTAATGATGATGCTTTTGGTGTTAATTTTAAGATAACTTCTAATGGTGAAGGGCAACAGGAAAGGGAGTGTGGGAGAGAAGTTAAACCAATATCCATGCTTCGTACCTTTAAGAGAGTACTGCTTTGCATTGTATAACTAGTCTTCCAGGTGCATAGATCTTTCAAATTTAATCATTTCACTGTCTGATTCTACTTATCATTGATTTCTGGTTATTTACCACATTCTATTGTGCACTAGATGGTGGAGGTGTGCAAAACGATTTCTGTGTTTTAATGAGAAATCCAAACTCCAAAGTAGGTTATTTGCTTCAAGATTTCCACCTTCCTTTGCTAGTATATATCCAATTTGAAACAGCTTTGTAAATAACCTCCCTTATGAATATACAAGAGACTTCAGAGACAGAGTAATAATATCATATTTTTGTTCAGATTTTTGAGAATTTGGTACTTGGTTCTACCTCTATCTTAGAGTAGTAAAACACTTGCTAGTGGTTTTAAATTGAAGCTGCTCACCTTCATCGGCAATTTCTGCAGTTATGATGATGGAACTCCTGTAAACATTGCCGCTGCTCAACCAAAAGCTATAGGAATCTCAGGATCCTCCAAGAATAATTATGCTGAAAGCAATGTGGTTTCACCATTCAACAAAATGAAGTTGGCTCAATCAAGCTCAAAGCCATCATCCAATCAAGGATGGCAGGTAACCATGGAGGATGCTATGAGTAATGAATTAGATCTTTTGTGCCCTCAAAGAGCTTAAGCATCTAGATGTAGCCTAACTGAGATTATGTAAACATTAGATGGCTTAAGTGTTCAGTCTCTAACATTTGACTGAATTATTACAAGCAGGGCAGATGCTAATTGGAAGCAATAATACATAAAAACCAAGATGAAAGACTGGGAAGTTTCAATTGATTTGGTTTCCAGGTGAAGCATAGATTTGATTTTGTTACCCTTCGCAAATTTCTATGTACTGTTGTGAATTTTCTTAGAAGCCCAACTAATGTTATTTTGTTGCTTGTCATTTGAAATTCAGGGTTTCAAAATGAGGCTACCTTCAAAGCATTTAAAATGAGCAAGACGTAATGATGCTGATAGTGATTTTGAAAATGAACAAGTGATGGTGGTTTGCAAACTTTTGAATGATTTTTGTTTCGATTTGATCAACATCATTTTCCTAGTTGTTTCATTTGATTGGGGATTTATGATGTAGGTGTGAAGAAATGGGGAAGAGGAAGATGCAAGTCTTGTAGAGGTACATGTTTTGTTAGTTCACTCAAATCCCATGCTTGACCACCTTTAATCTCTAATGTTTTTTGGGTTAAAGATTTTTTAACATGTGTGCAACGTTTGCAAAATGCAGGCATATAGACGAATGTGTTCTTCATCAAATGGACACTTAAGTCCTGAGTGTAGACAGTAATTATGTTGAGGAAGCAAAACCTCTGCTTCCGAAAATAAGGTGAGGTACTATGTCTTGAATTCTTGTCAATTGATTAAATTAGTTCTAGATTCTGTTTCTAGCTTAAATTATATAAGTTAGGTGGACCTAGTTCTTTTGATCTTGTTTCTGCTTCTTCCTAGCCATCATTCTTAACTAGATTACATTCTTTCTTTTGGTTGGACAATATTTCTAATTCTTGTTCATCTACAATTTCTGTGTTTTAATGGGGAATCCAAACTCCAAAGTAGGTTACTTGTCTTCAAATTTCCACCTTCCTTTACTAGGACAGTTTGAAAGAGCTTTTGTAAATAACCTCCTTTATAATACAAGAGATTTCGGAGACAATCTCGCTCTCACACACACACACGCACAATCTTCAACCATCTTTTACCAAGTTGGTTGGCTCCCTCACAATCTTCAACCATCTTTTACCATGTTGGTTGGCTCCCTCAAAACATACTTTGCTAGTCGGTATTTTGCACCTGCAAACGGGTGAGTTGTAAGGCTGCTTGGAAGGAATTTCAATTTGCGCTGTAAAGCACAATTGATGCAGTAAGGTATAGCTAGTTATCTCTTTCATCATAGCATAAATTTGAATAAGAACTTTGAACAATGACCTCTGCACCGTCCACAATTGATGACAAGATAAACAAGAAAAAAAATCCAAAAAACATTAGATTTGCCTAAACTTGGCTTTAGGTGTGACAGCACCATTCATGTTACCAATTCATATTCTAACAGATATGGACAACCGATAATTCCAACTAAATTACAGCAAATGGAAATTGCCAAAAAGCATGTTCAATGACAATGGAAAAAAAAGTAGATAATTTTTGGACTGATGATTGATGAATAATAATATATATGGTAAGAAATTTGTGATAGTACTAGGTTATTGGCTAACTGTCATGACCTAAATGGCAGCGCTGATTGGTAGAACAAGTATGGATGGTAAACTTGGTGCATATTTAAGTGAAAAATGATGCTAAATTGTGATATAATTGTAGCAGAAAGGACTCTGAATGTCAGAGTGGTTCGATCTGTTTGGTTGGAAACCATTAGAGTGTGTTGGAGGAGTAATACTCAGGACCGTAGATCCAAACGCTACGGTGACAACCCGTTCCAATTGTGATGTGGCCCCGAGCTGATCTGAACCTCTCCCTTTAATTGAACTTTAAGGCAGACAAGAACTATGTGGTAGATTTAAGTTCTCTATTTAGAATTTTATGGTTATGATATCACAATAAAATTATAAATTTACAATAATTATGTACTATTAAATAAGTATATTGTAATATTAAAAAAAATTATATTCTTTATACATTGTTCGCTCCCTAATTTCTTTTCAAATAAGTTATTTGTTACTTAGACCGATGAATAAATGAAGGTTATAATTAAGGTTACACTAGTAAAAAATCATTATCTTTTGAATTTAAATCAAAATGTTATTTAATATAATGCAATCTTCGGTGAATAAAAGGCATAAACAGTTTTTGTTAGAAATCTCTTGAAATTTGGAGCATATTTATATACAGTTATAACCTTTGTAGACTTTAGACACAAGCTTAGCCATGTTATGATTTTTATATGACTCTGATTTGATTCTGATATGGTTCTTTTGTCTACATATGTACTGTGCAATACATTATGAATGATATATACATTCAGCCTTTTTTACAGGATAAGGAAAGTAGCAATTATTTAAAATAAATAAAAAAAGAAGAAGAAGAAGAAGAAGAAAGAAACAAGTTATATATATATATATATATATATATATAAAATCTAGCAGAATGCAAGCTGGTGGATGGAAGCATAAGGAACAGGATGGAAACAAGAGTATGAATCAAATAAATATTTAACTATAGAATTCTCGATAAAGAATTGTAATTGAAAATATTTTTTTCATCCATGAAAATCTCAACCACAGATAATTTAATACGGATGGAGTGACAAATAGTTAAAAATAAAAAGAGAATCATGTTTTGCAATTCTACTATATAATAAATTGCAAAACATATATAAGCTGTTATATTAGATATTGTGTAGTTTTGACAATTCACTCTAAACTGTGCAATAGTTTTATGAAAGAAAAAAATAAATGAAAATTCTAAACGGAAAAATAGAATTTTATTTATTTTTGAATTAGTCAATGCCGAACAGATTCATACACTTATCAATTTTTTTAAAAATAAAATAAAACCCTAAGTATTAATAGGCATAAATGAGATGAGTTTCTTAGACAAATCATCAGTCTCCCATACAGTAGCCTCGTAGTTCTTTGTCTGTGCACCAACTTCGACGGCCAAAATCAGCCGGTGTTGGACTACAGAAATGACCTGTTGTCGTTGTTCTCCCTTGAGGATGCCATTCAACTTCAGATACGTTTGAGATTGGTTGTTGAACTCAGACACTGCAAACTTGGCAATCTCAAAACACCCGGGGGTCATTCAAATCCTCTAACGGCTGGCATCCTTCTTCTTGGCCTACACAGATGAGAGAAAGGAGGAGGAGAGAAACGGAGAGGAAAAGGAGGCGGAAATTTGATTGCATTGTGATGGTTTTTCGAGAGGTATTTGTGTTTGTGTAGAGGTGGTGCCACTGGTGGGTCGAGCTATGTTGGATTTTATCAGGTGAAAACTCTCCCAATATTTGTTTTTTTATTTACACCGAATTCCTTCCATTTGAATCAACAAAATGTTTGTATTTTTTTTGTCGATTTGGTGGATAGGAAAAGTTTCATTAAATTGAGTAATTGACCTAAAAAAAAAAAGAAAAAAATTATTCAGTGAGGAAAAAAATTACTAAATGAATTTTTATTTTGGTCAAGAAATAAAATCAAAAAAAGAAAGTTGAGTAATGGATTCAAAAGTCAAAACTATGATTATGGTACATATTAATTAGTTTCCGATTCATTTGACTAAATACTGATATATATATTGAAAGTTTATATAAACTACTTTAATTTGGTGGATTTTTTGCTTTTTATATTCATAATGTAATTGATTTTTAAATACATGTAATAAGATAAATTTTTAAATTTTAAATTATTAAATTTTTATTAAATAAAGCAAGTTTAATGGCAAAGAAATCTTTAGACAATTAGGAAATAGGCAAAGAATATTCAAAATCTTTTAGGTTGGCAAATAACTTTTTCAAAAAAATTAATACCAAACTAAAGTAAATAAAAGGAAAAAATAATATTAAATAATATCCACGAAGATAAAAAATGGTAAATTGAGGCATGAATTAATCACTCTTTTTTTGTTCCACTGATACAATAGGATTATATGGTTGCACAACCTCCAAAATATAACAACCCAAAATGTTTTGTCGTGACTTTACAAGTTTTGTATTTTTGTAAAACAAGTTCTACGCCATCACCTTTCCTTGCCTAATAGAGAATTTGAGAGAAAACGATTACAAGGTTTTAAACATTTTAAAGACATTTTTTTCAGTTACAAAAAGGAATGAATTAGAAACAACAAAAACGTCACAATATATTTAATTAAATATATGTTTCTCATTTTTTTTAATTAAGATCTACAACATTTCCCCTCCATTTTAATTAAAATGATAGAATTTTAGAATGTAGAAGAATTTAGATAAGGGTAGACTATTGTGCATAATACAGATAGCAATGTCTTAACCTCTATTTAGTAAGTTAGTGATTCATATTCTAAAGTTTCTATTGAACAAAGTTTTAAATTATGACTATCTAAAGAAATAAGAGACCACCTCACGTACATAAGTCTAACTTTTCAAAATTTTGACCAAGATTGAGTAATTTAAACAAGATTAACACTAATTAATCAAAATAATTAATTGATTTAATTGAAGAATTAATTATGAATTAATTAAAATTAATCAAAATAATTAATCAATTTAATTAGCTTTTCATTAGAATAATTAAATTAATCCAGCTACATTAATTAAAGCTAATTAACGGTAATCAATTAATTTTAATTAAAATTAATTAAACCAATTAATCACCTTTTAAATCAATTATTAAGAATTTATTTTATTTTTTGGTTTTTATATTTTTATTTTTATCTGTTGGCCCTGCCCACGAGGCTAATAGGCCATGATCCATTTCAAAGTCACTTCCGCACAGTAAAATGGGTTCAATCAGATCAAACAGAAACTAAATTAAGAATTTTAGGGTTCTTCATATTCATTCCATTTTTCATAAAAATCCACAATCATCCAAATCCAGCAATTTCAACAAACAAACACAAATTAAACAATGCATATAAACTATTAACATTTTTAACTTATTCCATGCTAAATCACCAAAACATATTGACATACAGAAAAGAAAAGAAAGTAAAACAACGGCGGTTTTTTTATTTTTGTGTTGGTTTTTCAGCAAAAAGGGCTTTCAAATTGGGCTCTAATAAACAAAACAAATAGACCATGAGATATATTTAAAATTAGGTCAAAGTTGGGTCCAAATGTATTTTCCATTTCCATTC